ATTCAAATCTGGCCTCAGACACATAACACTCACTAGCAGTGTGACTCTGGGCAAGTCACTTGACCCCAATCGCCTCACTCCCCCCCCAAAAAAATTGTACATATATAGGCATTATTTGTCATATCTATTTTTAGAAGGAAATCATAACTTTGTAACCTCTGCCACTTCTTTGCTATGTGTCCTTGGCCGAGTCTTTCATCCTCCTTAGCCTCCTAAATGGTCTTTCTCCCACCTTGCCTTTTCCCTCTCTGATCCACCCATCATATAGCTACCAAAATAATAATAGCAAGAAACAAGCTTTGCAAAGACCTTGATCTATATTCTCTCACTGAATCCTCAGGACAACCTTGTGAACTGAATATATTGTTGTATATTCTATGGTATAGTTCTAAAAGGTTAAGTGATTGGCCCAGGGTCATGCTAGCCTTTCCTTGGCAATTGACAAGGTTCTTTCCCTCTCCAATTGTGCAAGGGCATTCTTTCTGATGGTTCTCTTCCCCTGCTTCAGTCTCCTCATTGTACTGTGTTTATCTGTTCAGTATTACATGCCTCCATGAGATTAGGTGAGTTTCTGGAAGGCAAAGGACCTTGGCTTTATATGTTTTGTTTTTGGATCTGGCACAATGCTATGCACGCAGTAGGTGCTGATAAAGGAATGCTGAATTGAATTATTGAATATGAAGAAAAGTTTAAATATTGGGGCTGTTTCTCTTTGGAAAAGAGAAGACTTAGCAGGGTCTAATGTCCATTAGCAAGTCAAATATGTAAAGGACTACAATATGATAAAAGGATTAGACTTATTTTATGTGGTCCTGGGGTGGGAGGGAGAACTAAGAGAAAAATACAATGGGGTTAGGTGAAAGGAAGAGGAAGTCAGAAGGAGCATATTTTATGTCCATATGCCAAAAAAAAAAAAAAAAACCACCTTGTTTCCTCATCTGTAGAATGGGGTAAATTTTACTTTTCCTATCTACACCACCAGGTCTTAGAGATGATCAAATGAAGGGAGGGTGGGGGGAGAAAGGTGAAAATGATTAAAATATGATACTAAAGTGAGAAGTTAGGCACTATTCACTCACCCAAGGTCAGAAGTAAGATCTTCAGTGTAGTTTCCAGGGGACAGAAGATTTCAACATCAAACCCAATACCACAGATGTCACCCTTATTTTCACTCTCATTATGGAAGCCTGGGGATGAATAAAAATGTGGGAAATGACCTACTTCCTTGCTTCTACAGATGGTCCCTCTGAACCACCGAGGAAGACCTGTGGCTGAGGCAGAATGATCCAGCAGTCACTCAAATTGTGAACATCCTAAAATAAATCTCCAGGATCAATAATTTGGCACCTTTCCAACATATATGGTCAGCAGTAACATAAGTGAATTCTGTCCAAGCGGACCCCTCCTTATAAGAGACTTTTTCTTTCCCAATCAAACTAAAAGTGTTTAACTGTCCTGAAACTGTATTTTGTATATAATTAGAAAGGATAAGAAGAGACACCTTTACAAGACCCCATTCTATGACTAAGGATGTAGTAAGATAAACTCATGTGTATGGCAAGGTATTCTCATGTTGAAAGAGAGAAAATGGACAGAGTCTTGGCTATGGAATCAGAGGACATGAGTTCAACATTTACTAGCAGGTCTGATGCTTACTACCTGTTACCTTGGGAAAGCCGTCTAACAACCTGGAGCCTCTGTGTCCTCATCTATAAAATGGAAGGAGTCATACCAGATGGGCTCCGAGGTCCCTTCCAGCTCTACATCTATGTTCCCAAAGAGGTGAGAAACAGGATTAAGAGGAAGAAATAAACAATCCACGTTGGCCGACTTGCTGTTCCTAGCACACAACACTCCATCTCCTACATATATGCCTTTGCTTTGCCTATTCCCCGTGCTTGGCTTGTTCTTCCCTCCCACTTCTGACTTTGAGAATTCCTGGCTTCCTTTAAGACTCAGCTCAAACAAGCGCCTCCCCCAGGAGGGTTTTCCGGGTTCCCTTCTGCTGCTAATGTCATCCACTCTAAAGTCACCTGCCGTCTGTTCTGTATTTATCTCCTATGTTCTTCTGATTCATATGTTTTTCTCCATCATTAGAATGTAAGCTCTTTGAGGACAGCAGGAGTTGTTTTTGCTTTTTTTTTTTTATTTTTTAAATCCCTATGGCCTAGCACAGTGTCCAGCAGAAATTAGGTACTTAATAAATGGATATTTTAGTGATTGATTGACACATGAGAGAAAATAGAGGGTAATGAATGTGTATGAGTGAAAGAGAGCATAAGAATAGTGAGCATATATATACATATACATATATTTATATCTGTTTGAACACTTTAGAGCTCAAGATCATTCATATATGGAAAATTCATAGAATTCATAGAAAAAGTGTGGGTTTCAAAATACAATATACACAAAATACATGCAGACATTTGTAGCAATCATTTAGAAAATAAGAAACAATTTCCTTTCAGTGACAGCTATTTCAAGATAACTTTGAAAGACTTGGGTTGATTTACAGCCTTAACTAACCTAAGCCCTATCTTGAAGTGGGGGGGATGTGGTTTACCTAGACAAAATATTCTTAAAAACTAGGGATGCTATGTCTGAAATCCCTGACGCCTTAGCCATTTGGGCAAAAGGAAGCAGGGGCTAAGACAAATAAAACAACTAACAAAATTAGTCCAAAATGCCAAGATTTTAAGGTTTTTCAACCTACTCCCACTTACCCTTTTCCCCAACTATCCAGCATCAGCAAAAAGAAACCAAGCAAAACACACCTTTAGAGGTAGCCAGTGGCTATTTCAAGCTGAATTCTCAATCTTTGTTCAGCTTACTTCTCAAAAGCAGGTGGATACTTCAGGTTAACTTTCAGGGAATAGAAAAACAGTCTTCAAATGGGTAGGTAAGGTCCTATTATCCAGTGTTTCAAACAGCATAGTTTTGGGGCGCAGTTAACTATCAGTTATCGGAACTAGTAAAAAAAAAAAAGGACCCATTTCAATTGAGCAAACGGTGGATAATCCAAAAATAATTTATATTTGGCTGTGGGGTTAATGGGAGGGAGGAGAGACTGGCAGTAGATTTCCCTTGCTAATTGTTTGGCTCGCGGTGATACTAAAATTCGTTTCCAGTTCTCTGAGTGCCTAACAGCTGATGGATTGGAGATGTGGAGTAGTAGTACGATGACGCCTTTGAGAGCGAAGGCAGTAGGGAATTAAAAATTTGTTATAGATAATCCAAAGTGGCTAAAACCACGCAGGCAATTAATTGGGAAATGTCCATGTAGGGCTTATATAAATCATCAAGCTTAATTCTGCTTTGTTTTGATGAGCATAAGGTCTCTGTTATTCTCCCCCTATTCTATAGCCCAGTTCCCCTCCCCCAAGTTGGAGAAATGGGACAATTACATCCTAAAACAGGAGAGAAGTCTGACTCCCTAGAGAGAGAGAAGAGGTTTAGACAAGTAGTCCCCAGTGTATTTGTAGACACTTAAAACCCACAGTAATAAAGTTATCAAAATCACCACTTTGGGGTTGGCAGCAAAGACGAAGATGGAAACATGCATACGATATTTTCTCCCTATGCCCTAAAAAAATTGCATCTACCCCTCAGAGACCATAGAGATCAGAACAATGTCCCTCGGGACTTAATCTCTTCACGCAAGGCTCTGAGCTCCTGTGAAATGATTCTTTTAAATTATTATACGCCATTACTATCCCCAGTTCCTTTCACAACTCTATCTCATGAAATGTTAGGCCCCGAAGCAATGTGCAAGTGCTCAGCAGCAGGTCAGGCAGGATTCACACACCTAATAGAAAGATTAAAAGAAAGTTTAGCAGTGATTCCAATTGCTCCCTCCTGGGCCAAAAGGAAGGTGTTCTTTTGTTTGTTTTTGTTTTGTTTTTTTTCTTTTCGTTTTATTGTGGTGTGGTGCGGTGCGGTTGGGATGGGGGGGGGGTGAGAAGGGCGTGAAGAAGAGGCAGGAGGAATCCTTCAGCTCTACTTCCTAAGTACTGGAACGCTCTGTTTCACACTCGGAGCCACTGACCCTTTGTGCCCCTGATCCCAGGCTCAACGATGGGCCCCCGAAGCCAAGGCACTGCAGGAAAAGGGAAGAGTAAGGGAGCCTTTCTCCAAGCTGTCCCAGATTGCATCAGTGAACTTTACAATTTTGCTGGAGGTAGCAATGCCATCCTTTTCTGTGCGCCACCCCCTTACCCTTGAGCCCTGGAATCCCGGGGCTATTGGGAGGTTGCGAGGGGAGTAGTGTGCTTCCCTTAACCCCCAAGCCTAACCTCCTTGGGATTCCTACCCTTCGCCTCACAACCCTTCCCCACCCAATATACTAATGAAGCTCAATCAGGGTTTAGCCCGGAGATAACTCACGTGGCCCGGCTGCCGCTCTGCCCTGCGATTGGCCCGCAGTAATTATAGGCACACTCCGGGGACCAAGGGGGGAAGGGGGAGGGGGATTCGACCCCCGCCTGCATAAATTATGCAAATTATCCAGGGTGCAGCACGGGGCCGACCTGCTGCCTCTTTCCATTCATTCTCTCAGGCGGGGGTGAGGGGTGGGGGGTGGGAGCCGAGAGCCCGTTGGGGAGGGGGGGAGTGGGAGAGCTGGAGGGGATGGGGGCACCTATTGTTTTTCAGGGTATATAAGGTGTCCTGAGGCCAGTCGTGTGCCACACTCGGTGCTCACACGAGCTGATCACGGGCGAGATAGGAGCGGAGACAAGGCGGTCGCGTGGCCCCTCTTAGGCGGCCGAGCTCGGAAGTTTCCGGGAACTTTCAATTTCCTCCCTGTCTTGGGAACTTCGCTTAGGGGGAGGGGTCGGGCCGGGACTCCGAACTCCAAAAGTAAGTGGGCCCTGAAAAGAGCGCAACTCCCACCACAGCCGAGGAGGGACCCCGCACTCCCTCCCTCACCCTCTCCCCTCCAAAAAGTGTATTATTCATTAGCAACTTTTCTCTCTCTCCCTCTCTGTTTCCCTCCAGCAATGGCCTCTCTCGTGGACAGCAACCTCTCTGACTTCGAAAACAATAGCGACCTGTCATGCTTTCTCACGGACGAAGAGGACGGCAGCGGACTCCTGCAAGCCGCCTCCTCCGTGCAGCACTCCGAGCAGCGCCGGAGAGAAGAGCGGAGGGAGGACGAGGAAGAAGAGGAGAAGGAGCGCAAGAGGCGGCGAGGCCGTGGCCGGGTAAGGAGCGAAGCACTCCTGCATACCATCCGCAAGACCCGGCGAGTGAAGGCCAACGATCGCGAACGCAACCGGATGCACAACCTGAATGCGGCCCTGGATGAACTGCGAAGCGTGTTGCCCACCTTCCCAGATGATACCAAGCTCACCAAGATCGAGACCCTGCGCTTCGCGTACAACTACATCTGGGCCCTTGCTGAGACTCTGCGTCTTGCTGACCAGTGCTTGCAAGGGCCCCCCAAGGAGCTGCTCCTGCCCGCCTACCTTCACCCTGCCGACTCTCCCAGCTCGACCAGCGATGGAGAATCGTGGATCTCCAGCGCTTCCCCAGCTGCAGCCTCCTCCTCCTCCTCCTCTTCGTTCTCCCCACCCTCCTCCTGCTGCTCCTCATCCCCCCTCTCTAACCCCAGCAGCCCCGCAGCCTCCGAGGACTTTGGCTACGGGAACCCTGACCCCCTCTTCTTCCCTGGCCTGCCCAAAGATCTAGTCCACGGCGCTCCCTGTTTCGTGCCCTATCACTAGCCAGTCCTGTGGTGCGCCCACACACAGACTTCGCTCTGACCTACGCGGGCACATCACAAGTGACCTCGGGGAGGTCCCCCGAGCTCTAAAGGGGAGGAAGGGTGGACGGGCAGGTATGGGTGTATGTGGGTGGGTGATTGGGCATGCAGCTTAAAGATTCGGTCCTCCGCCTGCTCCGCTATCCTGAGAGAAGCATGGGTTGGGGTTCGCCCTAGGGGCTCTAAGTCACCTTGCCCCCTCGAGCTCCTAGCAGAGTCCTTCACATTGCGTCCTTCCCTTTTGCACTTTGTGAACTTCCCCAAGACTCCCTTCTTTGTGGCGCCGCTGAGCTGAGCCCCCACTGCCGGGGGAGTTAGCAAAGGGGCAGGTCAGCTGCTGAAGACGAGGTGAAAAGTCAATTTTACAATTTGTAGAACTCTAATGAAGAAAAACGAGCATGAAAATTTGGTTTGAACGGGCTGACAATACAATGAAAAGGCTTAAAAAGGAGAGACAAGGAGTGGGCTTCATGCATTATGGATCGTGACCTCCAGCACCGTCGTAGTGCTATAGAGAAGGGCTCAGCGCAGCAGACACGGGCTATTCAGCCTCTGTGCTCCATAGGAGTTTAATTTATTCAAGATGTTTCATTCATATGAAAATGTATTTTTGTACATAAAGAGTTTATTCTATTATTATGTATATGATCTGAAAGTTTACACTTTGTGTATTTCAGATGCTCCGTGTAAATAAAAAGTTTTTGTTTTTTTAACATTTAAGTTTCTTTGGTACTTTGCTCACTCGGGCCTCTCGGCACTGCTAAGGCTGAGGAAGTATATCAACCTCTCGGGGAAACTGCCACTCACGGTTGGGGCGGGAGGGGGGGGCCGGGGGAGAGAAGGAGGGACGTAAGCCCTGTTCTAATAGTCCTATACTCAAATTCTCACCCTCAGTGTCATCAGACATTAGAGTCTTTCTCGAGTCTCTCTAAAGTAAGGCTTACTTTGAAGGGGCCTCAAAGATTGTTTTATGAACCCTGGCGTTTGGGGCCATGGTTTCCTTCCACCTTAGAGAAAACCATTACAAGCTTTACCAGCTCATTCACAATAAACCAATTAAGATTTTCTCTGGGGGAATTAGCCCTGGGTGTGCAACTACCTGTAGAGGTGGGCTCTATAGGAAAGAAATTTCTTTTGAGTTACCGAGCATCAGCTGGCTCAGGTTTTCAAAGAGAGGGGATTAAAGAATCAATAGAGTGTGGCCATTGGTTAGGAAGTGAAGAGTGACAGGTGTGGGACACTGGGCAGGCTTGCTCTGGCTAGGCCACCCTCCCAACAGCCTATTTGAAAGGGGAAATTGATTTGTAAACAATACATTAGAATTGTTCTCTATTGAAGTTTCCTGGCTGAATACCCAGGTTGCCCTCGAACATCAGCCCATTGGAATATGAATGGCTGGTCACACTAGGTAGGTATAGGGCTGCTTGTAAGTGAATGGGTGATTACATCTGCTCAGACACAGAGCGAAGGCTGGCCCACCAGCCTGCCTGCCTAGGAAAAGGCTCAACTGAAACTCCAGAGAAGTGCTCCAGGGTTGGATCTCTATGTTTGTTCAGTCAACTCCAAAGAAAACAACATTCTCATGGGGACTACAAAGGCTGAGGGGTCTTCATTTTCTGACAGTGAAATCAGTCATCCAAACAGTGGGACATTTTTTGGCTGTCTCCTGTTTATTTGTTGTTAGACAATTAGCTAACAAGGGGTATTAGTCGACAGGATCCTCTGTTTTTAATTTCAAAACTAGGGTAATTACAAGTGACAGTTCTGGAAACTCTGACACGCATGGGGTGCTTTCCAAGAAGGGTTAGAACAAAACTTCTTAGGCCAGGCCTCTGATTACACAAGGGGAAAATGGTGCAAGAAAACGGGCTAAGGAAAGTGACAAATCCAACACCACAGGAAAGAATGCATGTTGAGAGTTGTCCAGAAACAAGCCTTGAACACTTCTTATGCTGCTGAACTCCTCTCTCCTAAAAACATATAAGTGATGAGCCCACGTTACTCGGTGCTGCCTCAACTAGCAGACACTTCTAGGCTACGAAATTTTACCTTTGGGGCAAAGGAGTGGGGAGTTTGGTGGGGTGGTTGATTGGGGATGCAAACAGACAAAGAGAGCACAACAATGGAAGGGAAGACTTACTACACAACAACAGAATTCGGAAAGGAATTAATTCTCTGAAAACCTCTGAAGAAAAAGAATCAGCTCAAGGCTTTTTTTTTTTTTTACCTCCTCTTTCCCTTCCACATCCCACCCCACTCCCCCATCACTGAATTACATCCTTCCACTGGTTGCATTTGGCTTTATTTTTCTTGTAATAAAGACAAGTATGTTCCTGGGAAGATGGGATTTTCAGTTTTCCTTATGCATAAGGGCTCTTGGAAGTGATTCACTTCAGTCTTTGGCTGGGGCGGGGGGGGGGGGGGGGGGTTTGTTTGGGGGGGGGGGGGGGGGGGGGGGGGTGGGGGGGGCTCCTTCTGTTTGCAGAGGAAAGAGTAAATCCTCTATTTGTGCCTTCACCAAGGGTGTCTGTTCAACCCTGCTGTAGGTGCACGTGTCTGGGATAGAGGGTAAGAACACTGGGTTTTGTCCTCTTTTTTTTTTTTTTAAAGCCCTCAGGAGACCCACCAGGAAACAAATCCCAAAGCTCTAGCTAGCATCCTGCAGCCAGTCCAGCGGCACAGGGTCTCAAGCCTTTGTCTCACACAGCTGTATGTAGCTGTAGGCAGCAGGCAGGGGCTTTAAAATAAGGAGAATCATCATTATTGCCTCCCAGATCAAGAAAAGCAAACCATATTCCCAACTCTATAACAATAAAAGGCAAGAAAAGTCTTTAATGACATCGATCACTAAGGGCTCACCAGGACTACTGCTGCTCTCCACTCCCTGCTTAATGCTATTCTTCTAGGGAAGCCCAGCACATGTCCTCTCAAAAGGAAAAGAAAAATTAGTTTTTAAAAAGTAGAGAAAAGGTAGTTAAAATCCTTGTCCACACATCTGATGTGGTCTCTATACTATTGACCGGAATAGACAAGATAAACAAGTGTTCATCCAGATTTTCTGGTCAATGGACACTAACATAGATAGCCTGCAGGGACTACCAATGTTTAAAGAGTGAGAAATGGATTTTTTTTTTAAATTTAAGACTCAACCTATCCTGAGCAGAGAACCAGGATTACCACTAACTAGATTGTGATCTTGTCCTTTTATTCTCTTGGCCTCAGTTTCTCTATTTATAAAATGAAGAGATTGGACAAGATGATCTTGAGGATTTCTTCTAGTTCTAAAATGCTCTGTTTTAGAAGATGATCTGTCACTGATGTAATTCAGTCAATATTTATTAAGGTCCTACTTTACACAATGCCCAGTGTGGGTCCTTAGAAAGATAGATCAGGAACTTCCTTGGATTCAGGCACATCTCTTCAAATTAAATCTTACTCACATTTCTATGGCAAACAACCCCGCGAGTAAATAAGTACTGGAAGTATCATTGATGTCATTTTACAAACAAAGGAACTAAGGCTTAGATTGATCACAATGAAAGTAAGGTCAGGAGACAGGATTTGAATCCCTGACACAGCCTCCTTCCACTACCATGGTGCCTTTCAGCATCATTTGCCCAAACCTTTGGTAGTCACATATGTATTGCTCAACACACATTATTTTTGTCAATTTTCACCTGTGGATGTTGTTTCCCCAACTAGATGATGAGCTCACCAAAGACATAAACCCTCGTATCCTCCATAACATCTACTAAGGTGACATACACATTGTAGATGCCCAATAAATACTTGCTGACTAACAGTCGTCATTATGTTATTTTATAGATGGTATCATTATGTTATATTATGGATGTAGACATAGGTAACTGGGCCTCCCAATGGTACCCTAGCCCAAGTAAATTGTTTTCTGAACTGAATCCAAGCTATCAGCTTGCTTTTCTATAATTTGCCCCTTACAAAAGGCGGGGGGGGGGGGGGCGGGGGGGGGGGGGGATTGCATTTAATGAGATTCCCAGAGTTTAGAAAGGACTGAAGAATTCCTCTAATCCAACTTCATTCCCAATGTATCATCCCTTATTGAGAAAATCCATCCTCTGCTTGAACCCTTCTAGGGACAGTGAGCTTACTATCTCACTATCTCACTATCTCATTGTAGAGCTGCTCTGATTATTATAAAGTTCTTTTTTCTATTGAGCCTAAATCTGACACTTCATAACTTCCACCCATTGATCCTAGTTCTCTCCTTTGTTAACTAAGAGAAATGTTTGTTTTCTATTGAAAGTCCTAATATTTGAAGGTAGCTTTCAGAACTCTACTAAATCTTTTCTTCTCCAATCAAAGCATCTCCAGGTCTTCCAACTGATATTAATATGCTTTGGTTTTGAGTCCTCTGGTCACCTTGTTCCAGCCTTACTACAGTTTACCAATATCTCTCTTACATGTGGCCTCAAAATTGATCAAACCAATAAAGAACTCAGTGGGACGATTACCTCCCTTACTGTGAATATGAGATTTCTCTTAATACAGTCTCCAAAGTTACTCTGTTGACTTAAAAGCCAGGTTTCTTCTCTTTTTGTTCTTAAACAGTAATTTTTTTTAATTTAAAAGCAGAACTTTACATTCATTCTTCTTACATTTTATGGGATAACTTTTTGGATTAAAGACAAAGTGAAATACAATTACCAGGACTGTTTAGTCCCCTCCATTTCCATTCTCCCCTACTAAAAAAAAAAAGTAGAAATATTTATCCAGGTTTATGAAAGAATAAATCAAATTAATAGGACCAGGTGACATCATTACATATAAAAACAGACAAAGAAAGAAAAGGTTTCTTTCAGTAAGAGAACTTCCCATCTCTACTCTCTAAGAACAAGTTCATCAATATTCTGAAGAGAGCATAAATTGGGGAAATGGAGCTACATATTGCAGAAGTAGCCCAGGGCTAGTCATACAGTATAAAGG